CCCCTCCCTCCCTCCCTCCTTCGCTGCCTTCCCCCAAGTAGTTTGCACTATATGTGGTTAGATTTCAAACCTTGCTTGAAATTACCTGCTTTTATGTGGTTGCCAAGTGATTGATACCAGGAGGAGAGCAACATTATGCAGCTCTGATACCAGAACAGAGAATGACGGTCGGACCAATAAGGATAAAACGGGGTTGTTTACAATGACGGATTATCCTTCTCCGTGGAAGATGTTCTCGGGTTTGTTTTTTTTTCTTTAATGCCGAACAGAAATGTGGACAGAAGTAAATGGTTTCTTCTAAAGAAAGAACAGGCGTTTTGACAGAAGTGTTCCACAGAGCAGAGACATCGAACACTGGCACCGACCTCCTCTCCTCTCCTCTCTTCTCCTCTCCTCTCCTCTCCTCTCCTCTCTTCTCCTCTCCTCTCCTTTCCTCTCCTCTCCTCTCCTCTCCTCTCCTTTCCTTTCCTCTCCTTTCCTCTCCTCTCCTCTCCTTTCCTCTCCTCTCCTCTCCTCTCCTCTCCTCTCTTCTCCTCTCCTCTCCTTTCCTCTCCTCTCCTCTCCTTTCCTCTCCTCTCCTCTCCTTTCCTCTCCTCTCCTCTCCTTTCCTCTCCTCTCCTCTCCTCTCCTCTCTTCTCCTCTCCTCTCCTTTCCTCTCCTCTCCTCTCCTTTCCTCTCCTCTCCTCTCCTCTCCTCTCCTCTCCTTTCCTTTCCTTTCCGCTCCTCTCCTCCCCTCTCCTCCCCTCTCCTCTCCTCTTCTCCTACCCTCTCCTCTCCTCTCTTCTCCTCTTCCTCTCCTCTGATTAGATTCCCTTTATTTATCTACTCTGATCCCATAATCCCAGGCATTGCAGTCCCTCAAGTGTTGTGGTGCCTGTCAGGGCGTAGAACCCTCCCCCCTCACCCCCTCCCCCTCCTCCCACACACAATCACACAAACACAAAAGGCATGTAAACACCAGTGATGTTGCACTTGCTCTCCATCTTTGCACCTGTTTGAACTCTGACTAATGTCTGTTTACCTTCGGTGTCAGAAGGAAAAACCAGGAAAAACAGTCAAGTGTTAGCGCCAAGTCAGACGACATCACAGGGGAACAGGCTTTAAACCAGGGGTCTGCGACCACATGGACCCCCAGGATGATGGGATGATGATCGGGGAGATTATATATATCATCAGGAAACTCCTCACAGCACAGCAGCAAACAAAAATCTCACCAAAAGTATATGGAATGAAATATAATAATATTCTAATTTAAAATGTACCTAAAATGCAGTCCAGTTTAGTTGAAGACAACGCTGATATACCGGCAGGAATTGAAGAAAGACACTCACAAAGATCTTCTGCCTGTCAAGCTTTGACAAACAAAGAAAAAAAATTGCAATAAATAAATGATAGTTTTGGGACAAATTTAGCGAATTTTTCTGCGGCACAGCTAATGATCACTCACGGCACACCAGCGGGCCACGGCACAGTGGTTGGGAATCACTGATATATACTATACTATATATGTGTATTTATATTTATAAATATATACACATATATACATACAATAAATAAATACAATAAATTATATACATATATTTTTGACGGATACCATTGGTAGTCCGATGTGACTGGTAAATATATACACATATATACATACAATATATTAGATACATATATTTTTGACGGATACCATTGGTAGTCTGGTATGACTGGTAAATACTGTATATACTCTATATGTGTGTATAAATGTACATATGTTTTTTAGAAGACTCACATTCTATATACATATATATATAAATATATACATTTTTTAATTCATTAATATTTAATTAATAAATGGATATATTTCCTCTGGGACAAACAAACACCGACTGACAGTGAGACTAATGTCTTTTTACCCCCCGTTCATATTCGACTACAAACGTCTGCGTTTGTAAAAATAGAAGAGTGACATCACAGCCGACCTTTGACCCACGGCTCTGCAGTGAAACTGTCATTAAATTGGATTTTTTTTCCCCCCTCAATCTGTCACAGTTTGCTTTAAAGATAATATCCTTGTTAATGAGTCGTCGGTGACGCTGTTGTCATGTTGTCAGTTCCACCAGGAACAGTCAGACTCACTGTTACACTTCAGTCGGTGTGAAAACAGAGAGAGAAAATAGAGAGGAGTCCACAGATGGAAAAGGCAGGTGTTAAATTCTGCATGTAGTGATTCAATTTAAATCCAGGGGTCAGCAGCGCTCACTATTTGCATTAAAATACAGTGAATATTTTATGCAGCCAAATATGTGGCTGTGAATTAATTTCTGAAGGAAAAAAGAAAAACATTTGGACAGAACGAAGCGCTCCAGGGCCGGAGCGTGTCAGTGAGAAACTCCGATTCCCAGGCTGAATTTTTAATGTGTCCGTGCAGAGCTGCGCTGCCGTCAGGCTGTTTCTCACATCAGTCCCCGTCGCTGACACCTACTGTATGAAATACTGCAGTATCAGTACACGTCAAGTACTTTGTTCCTCTTTAAAAACCGTGCTGGTTTTGTTTTTGTTTTTGTTTTTTTTAAGGTTGCAGTCCAGAGGAGGAGTAATTGATTCGGTGCCAGGATGGAGCTGATATTTTCAGGCTTGACAAAAAAAAAAAACTTTTGTATTTTAATAGTAACTCAGAATCAGTACCAGAACAGGTTTAAAGTCACATTCAAGGAATTCAAGGCTGGTTGTTCTGTTACTCTCTACCTGAGCTTAAAAAAAATAATTAAAAAGAAAAATCACAATGTATGAATCCAGGAAACCTTATGTAGGTTTCCTCAACCTCTGGGCTGGTGACCGATATCGGTCCATGGATCATTTGGTCCCGATCTGGACAGGAAAGATAAGATTTTTTTTTTTTTTTTCCCTGATATGCACAGGAAAGATAAGAATTTTTTTATTTTTTTTCAGTTTACATTTTCACGTAGTTTCATGGTATTTTATTTTGGAAAAACGATGACTTTCACCTCCTCCTTTTTTTTTCAGTCTCGTAGTTTTGGTTAATTAATATATTTACATTTTTTAAATTGTTTATTTTATTATTCTTTTTTAAACAGGTGTCTTTGATTTTAGCCCCTGAAACATTTATTTCACTCTTTCAAATCGTTGATACCCTAAGTCAGTGGTTTTCAATCTGTGGTTCGTGTACCACTGGTGGTACGTGGGCTACCTCTGAATTAATTTGGTTTTATAATCTTATTAGGAATAAATTGTGAATTGAGTCTCAGGTGAACAGAGTTGGTTTTGTACTCTGTGGGATGATGTTCATGTGATTTCAAAGACTGCTTGCATTTTTCCGTCACCAAAAAAGAAGCCTAGCCTTTAGCAGTGCGTGTTAGCAGCCTCCCAGCAGTCAGTTAGCATGACACTGTCATATACAGAACGCCGGTGCTAATGGCAGTTTAATTACATTTGGATACAGCCAATCTTCCTTGATGATCAATTCCGTGGAGGACGGATGAACTTCACTTGCCTCCACTGGCTGCTTCCCCCCGCCCGGCACCCCCCCCCCCAAACCCCACCTCCTCCTCTTATTTCCAGAAATAAAATCCATTCTGTTTGAGCCTCTGTCTGCCTCTTGTGCATACATTGGTAAGACAAGTCACGCATGGGCAACAGTGGGGCGAGGCCCGTCGCTGGTCTGATTAGTTCTGCTCCAGAAATGTGGAGAGTGACGAGCTAATCGCA